GATGAAACCGTGGAAAAGCACGTCCTGGAGAGCCGTTAACCAATATGCAAATTAGCCTGCAGTACCACTGCTCRACCCATATGAGCAGCAAAAACACGTTTTTACACCAAATATTACAGATTTGAACAAATACGCACAAAAACATCAAAATTAGCACAGAAACAGTACTATATAACATTTTAGACACATACTAGACAGTTTATAGCTAAAAAAAATAATTTTGTGGTAAGTTTCTCTTTAAGCTGTTTCTGATCCTTCCTGTCAGACGGTTGAAGCTAAAATCACCTCGGTGCTGCAGCTTCACCTCTTCTACTGCTGACATCCAGTTTGCTTCTGGGTTGGTTTTTGGCATGACTATTTTTGTATTTAAGTAAAAACATTTTAATTTATTTATTTATTTATGTGAAGAGAAAATAGAGAGAGAAAAACAGAGAGAGAAGTAATTAGAAAGATAGAAAGACAGAAATAGCGATTAGGAGTAAAAAAAACATAATGGTGTGGAGAGGATGGCTATAAGGGGAGAAGGGAGGCCATCCAAAAAGAAAAAAAAACATAATGGTGTGGAGAGGATGGCTATAAGGGGAGAAGGGAGGCCATCATAAAAAAACATTTTAATTTAGATTTTTTTTAGCCACATTTTTTATTGAAATGGTTTCCTACAGAGTCTTCAAAACCTTTAAGCTGTTTATAACCTTTCACCTGTTCTGGCTGGACTTTTTTCAGCTTCTTTCTGCTAATTTCAGCTTTTTTAGCTAATTTCAGCTTTTTTCACGTTTATTTCATCTATTTTATGCTTAATTCAGCAAATCAGCTCTTTTGCATTTTTTGCTATTTTAGTGTTTTTCAGCCTTTTCAGCTATTAAACAGCTGATTAAAGCTTATCAAGCTTTTTATGCTCCTTTGAGATGCTTTCTGCTAATTTCAGCTTTATTATTCATTTCAGCTATTTTATGCTTGATTCAGCAAAGCAGCTATTTTTGGTGTTTTCAGCTTCTTCAGCTACTATACAGCTGATTTCAGCTTATTGCAACTTCTTCGTTTAGTCTTTTTATGTTTTTTCAGTTTGTGCTAATTTTAGCTTCCTTCATTTTATTTTTGCATTTTTTTCCTTTTTTTTCTACAAGTTTTCGTTTGCTGTAACTGTTTCCTGCTAATCTGAGCTTTTTTTCTTAGCTAATTTCACTTTATGTTAATTTCAGCAATTTTTTTTTGCTTAATTCAGCCATTTTTCTGCCATCTTTAGTATTTTTCTGTTTTTAAAGCAACTTTTCTGCTATTTTTTCTGATATAATTTCAGCTACTTTTTTTTGCATTCACGCTACATTTTCACAGGAAGTTTAGTTTCTCCAGTTAGTTGTTATATTTTCTGGTTGTCCACCTGTGGCGACACTAGATGGAAACTCAGGTTTTGTGAAAGTTTAATTTTAGTAAGTTGCTCAACAACGCCACCCNTTACAGGACTTGACAATAATAACTCCTGAGTTCTTGTAGTTTTTCTTCTTCTTCTGTTTTTTGGGGTTGATACAGTCGAACTCCACCTGAGGAGACGTTGAACGGAGAAGACAGAAGACAGAAGACAGAAGACAGAAGAAGAAAGAAGACAGAAGACAGAAGAAGACAGAAGACAGAAGAAGACGGACGAAAAGAAAAAGTGAGTCAGAACCAACAGGACTGAGCTCAGAGGACAGCAGGGCTGGATGGAGGGAGCATCAGGTTTGAAGGATCTGGCTGAGAGGCTGTGACAGCGAAGGATAACTTTCCAGACTCCGCCCACAGAACCTTCTACCTGCCTGACAGACAGGTGATGGTACGACACACAGGTACACACACCTGCTGTAAATCTATACAGGAAACGAGAAGGTTTAACGTGACAAACGACTGTGATGAGAAGCACCTGGAGCAGAGGGATCTGTGGACAGGGAGCTGTAAATGTGCCGTCGTGTCCCCAGAGCTCAGCTGAAACCTGTTTTACATCTCAAAGCACCTCTCACTTCAGCAGCCTGCACTTTCCCACTCTCACTCTTTCTCTGCGTCTCCATCCCTTCATCTCTCCATTCTGCCTCTGTCACTATTTGCTTGATATGTTGCACCCCCCCCCCCCCCCCCCCCCCCACACACACACACACACACACACTTCCACACACGAGGGGTCTCTGCTGAAGCGAAGTGAAGTGATGAAGCTGTTAATGAATGAACAGTGCAGCTTTAGAGCTTCGGATGAAATTAAAAAGCAAAATGAAAGAAATGTCAGCTGAAGCTACTCGTTTATTAGAAGTGAACTAAAATTATTTATTCTCTAAAGAGAACAAGGACGTTTAAAGCTTCGACACAAATAGAGTTTAAATATGGGATCAATCTTGTGCCAGCTGGAATTAAATTTGAGTTTCTCAGATTCAATC